CACTGTAGCTAATAAATATACTTTTTTCTGTGTGATCAATTTTGCTGTACTGTTTTTTTCTTAATCTTCTATATTTGTTGAAAAAGATAGCTCTGGAAGGAGAAAGAGGATGGTAAGAGATATATCAGGAAATGAAGGTGATATGAAAATAAAAGATAGCAATAAAATTTTATTTTTAAAAATGAGAGAAGATGATTTTTATAATCCTTTCTGGGGCAAGCCACTTAACCTTTATGGGACTCAGTTTCCTTGTCTATGAAAGGAGAGGGTTGGACTAGGTGATCTCTGAGATCCCTTCTAGCTTTATGATTTAACCATCCAAATTTTCTGAATTCAGATCTATAATCCTATAATTCTATGACCATGACAGAGAACAATGCAAAAGAAATCACAGTGGGAATCATGTGGACATCCCCTGCTGAGTTGTCAGAACTGAGGAGATGCTACCTGTTGAAGAATCTGAGAGACAGTGTCTGCTTAGAGCCCTACCTAGGTAGGGCATGCCAGTAAGCAAATGAGGTGGTCTACATAGGTTTCTGGGGAGTAATTTGCTCATTGGTAGGTATCATTATTTTCTTTTCTTTGTATAGCATAAAACTTTTCTCCTTAGTTTTCATGAACTCTGTACTTGCAAAGGGAATTATTGTCAGAGCACCAGGTGGGTTTCTCAGATTTTTGTGAGTGGGTGTAACAAGGCAGAGACGTGAGAAGTCTCCCAAAAGGCATCCTGGTCCTTTTTGTCACATCAAAGACTCTGACACAGTTGCCAAATTTATATTCATAAAGTACAAGTATGAGCATGTCAAGTCCCTCCTCAAGAAATTTTGGGCTCTCTATTTTATCTATTGTTGTTTGTCCTTCATTCTTGAAGAGGACCATGACATAAGGGAGGTGATGCCATGATATGCAAGTGAATTTGATTTAAGTGAGGGAGGGCTGTGCAAAGTCATCAGCCTTACTTTCTGCTTTGGCGTCATCTGGGCCCAGTGACAAGATATAGATCAGGATGACTGGAGATGGCCTTGCCTATTTTCATCTAATAATACATAAAATATACATAAAAATTCACAAAATACAAATCCCATTCAGCATTTAAAGCCCTTTTTATCCTAACATTCTTTCCAGGATTATACATTACTACTCATTACCCACTATATTCCCATCAAGGTAGCTTACTTCCTGTTCACCCCACATACTGAATCTCTCATCATCATGACTTTGTACTGGCTGTCCCTATGCCGAGGACAGTTTCCTCCACCTCTCCCTCTTAGAATCCCTCGCTCCCTTCAACCCTCATGAAGCCTTTCCTCATCCCCCCAGTTATTAGTGCCCTAGCCTCACCCTGAAATTATGTTGCATGTAATTTCTGTGGACATATGTGTTGTTTTCCCCCATCTAGGTGAATGTAAGATCCCTGAGGGAAAAAGCTATTTTTTTCTACTTTATTTCTCTAGTAGGCACTTAATAAATGTTTGCTTGCTGCATGAATGAATGGCATAAGGGTAACAAACGCTATAGGTGGTAATAGATGGAATGATGAAACTGCCCCCCCAGAGTTGTTTTTTTTTTTTTTTTTTTTTTTTACTGTGTGAGTTAGAGTGAAGGCTCCAGGATCAGTCTAAGGTAGGTGGTGGTTTTTTTCTTTTTTAATCTCTATAATAGGCTCATAGGATTTCAGGCTACAAGTAACCTCAGTGGTTGTCTAGTTCAACCTCTTAGTTTTATAGATACAGAAACTGAAGCTCAGAGAGATAAAATGACTTGCTATTAGGCAAAATAGTTTGGGTATGAAGCTGAGGACTCTGGCTTAGCTGTGCTGGAGCATTGCTCATCCCTTGCCTGTGTTTGATCTGGACATATCAGTGCCTGACACAGCTAAAATATATCTATCAGAATCTCTCTTCTTGAGTCAATCCACTTCATGATGCAAATTTCCTCAACAGTTTCTTTCCTTTTTTGTTTCAAAGCTGGGTAATGCTGTGGAGTGGTTTAGCTACCACAAATACAGAAACTCTCAAATGCAAATTAGTCTTTATTACAGGATTCAGAGTCTCAAAGAAATCAGAAAAAAACATTCTAAATACAATAGGCTTGTGCCACTAACTGAGCTCTGCTTTCTCTGTTGTCTTGTTCCATCATCCTTTCTACTGGTTTTTCCCTTTTCTTCCTTTCATTTCCCTTCTACTCTTTCTACTTCCCTCCTCCCCAGTCCTGTCCCTTTCTTTCCTCTTACCAAATTGGTAGTATATCTTTGTAATTCTCTTTCCTCTTCCTTTGGCACAGTTTTTAGCTGTGATACTTATGTGAGATTTCCATGTGAATTTGTGTGGCTAAAGCATCATCTCTGAGATCTGATGACTTGTATTCAAATCTTATCTCTGAGGTTCATTTTTTTTGTTGTTTTGGTTAGGCAGTGGGGTTAAGTGACTTGCCCAGGGTCACACAGCTAGTAAGTGTTAAGTGTCTGAGGCTGGATTTGAACTCAGGTCCTCCTGAATCCAGGGCCAGTGCTCTATCTATTGTGCCACCTAGCTGCCCCTCTGAGGCTCATTTCTTGTGTGACCTTGAGCAAATCACCTCTCCTCTTTTTGACTCAGTTTCCTCATCTGTAAAAGGAGGGGGCTGTGCTAGATGCTCTGAGGTTCCTTCAGATCAATGATCCATGGGATCTGAACTCTGAGCATATCTGGTTACAAGAACCAACTTTAGGTGTTTCAAGGGAGGTTGTTGTTGTTGTTTGTCCTTCATTCTCGAAGAAAACAAATGATATCGGGAAGGTGATGTCATGACTTGCAAGTGAATTAGATTTAAGTGAGGCAGAGCTGTGCAAAGTCACCAGCCTCACTTTCTCCTTTGGAGTCATCTGGGTCCATTGGCCAGATTCAGATCGGGACAACTGGAGATGGTCCATTCAGGGGAGGTGGGTATACTGTGTCAGTCAGGTTTTTGCAGGTCTGTTGGAGGGATTCCAAGGAGGAAGATTTCTCACTGTGCAGTCTTTGTCACAGTGACTTGCACCTATTTCGTGCTTGTTGAATTGACACTGAATTGAAAGTTACTCCTTGTCACTCACTTTCCCAAACTGACCCCAGCCCCTGGGCCTCTGAACTCTCTAACTTCCTCAACTTCATTTTTTTATATGCCTCAAAAAATGAGAATTGAAAAGAAATTTTTTAAAAAGATGAAATGGCTAGCAATTTAATAACTTAACGAAAGCTCACTTAAATTTTAGCATACCATTGCTGATGGAAAGAGCACATCAAATGTCTTCCCAATGGCTTCACTCACTATCCCTGTGACTTTCCAAAGCAAAATACCCTTCCCTGGCTACCACCCCATCATATATCTCATCTCATACTACTGAAGTCTAAACTCTTGAGCATGGGGACTATCTTGCTTTTGTGTTTATACCCCTAGCACTTAACACAGTATTTATTACATTCATAGGTACTTAATAAATATTTTTTAATTTGTCCAACCCATCCATTCATTCATTTATTACTTATATCCATCAGCACTGAAAGCAACAGGGATGGGAGACACTTTTAGCATCAATCTTCGGTGTTGTAAGCTAAGTATGGAGGAGAACTGAGAGGAGGCAGGGTTAGTGAGGCTGTGTGATCCCAGAAAAGTCCCTTAACCTTTCTGAGACCCTGTTAAGTTATCTGTAAAAAGGATATACTAATATTTACACTGTCAGCATTCTAGTGAGGCAAGTGCTTTGTATAACTTAAAGCACCATGTAAATGTGGAAATTCTCTCCCAAGTTTATACTCGATTCTCATGAATATCCACCTTTCTTTCTTTTTCTTTCTTTCTTTCTTTCTTTCTTTCTTTCTTTCTTTCTTTCTTTCTTTCTTTCTTTCTTTCTTTCTTTCATCCTTTTATTTTGGCGGTGGGTTTTTTTTAGTTTCCAACATTCACTTTTATAAGATTTTGAGTTCTAAATTTTGTCCCCTTATCTCCCCACTCCCTCCCCATGACAGCATGCAATCTGATATAGGCTGTATGTGCACAATCATATTAAACATATTTCCACATATCAATAAATACTATATGCCATTCAGGTTGCTTTGCATAGAGGATACATGAGAGTAGGCCTGTGAAGGCCATCCTATATAGAATATGCCAGAGCTCCTCTGACAATTTTTAGGGGAACAGTGCTGTGTGGCCTTCTTGCTTTGGGATGGTAAAGCAAGCCCCGGCTGCTCTTTCAGGTCTTGTACCTAATGATGGTGCAGGGGGCATGGAGAGGAGCCTGGGTCAAAGCTCAGACAAGTCAGGAGAAGAAGCTAATTCACCAGACTCTCCAAACATGTTGTATAACGCTGGGACTTCCCATAAAGGTTAGTCTTCTCCACTGTGGAAGCACGTCAATTGCATCTACATGACAGCTAAAGCAGGGGCATGGCTAGATGAGTTAGCCTGAGCGTTGGGGCTCCTGCCTGCCTTTTCTTCCTTTCTTTTCCTTTTATAGGTGACTGAACAGTAAGCCTGAGGATGTCTCCAGCCTTGGAGATAAATTTGAGAGTTTGAGAGGTAAGAGTTTCTAGGTACCTCAGTTGGTGCTGGCTGACATAAGCAAGTTGTCTCCTGCATGCACTATAGTGATTCTTTGAGGAGAGACAAGCCCTGGCCTGGCCTGGCCTGCCAGCAGACATGATTCTGGAGGGAACTGTTTGGACATAGAGAGCTGATGTGAAATGTAAATTACCACTTCAGCGGTTCCCCCAAAATGCTTTATGTTGTGATGATTTTAAGTTTCACTCTCCTTGTGTGTGTTAAAACATTTTTTGTGTGTAGAAGAAATAAATAGCTATCCTATACCTGATGTTTATATATGGCATTCTTCTAACTCACCCCAAAGTTCGCATTTACTTCCTCCTTTCTACACGAATGTATTTTTCAGCTTTCAGTTGTAAGCTAGTCATTCTCCTCCCAATTCTTTTCTCCAGAACTCTTAGTTCACTTATGATTTCATTTTGCTTCCTTTCTTCCAGATATTCTTGTGGTCCTTATGGGCAGGCCTTGTGGAGGAGTTATCTGGTGGTGGTTAGAGTTTATACCACTCTTCACATCAGAGCACGTGGGCAGTGATGGTCACCTCTCCCTAGGGGGCCAAAACTAAAACCATGGTAGGCGAAAGTGTAAACCTATAGCTTCTTCCTTTTTCTATCTGAACTATAAGCAGAGAAAGAATGTGTCAGGGATCTCTGTCTGATGCCTTTATTTTTTTCTCCTGCTTTTCTGTTTTATAACCTTAATTTATTCTCCTCATTGTTTGCAGATCTCAGAACAGTCATCTTTCTCTACGGACTCATTGTAAATATAAGGGAGCCTTTGGATTCATTAGATTCCACTCTGGAAGGAAGGAAGGAAAAAAAGAAGAAAGGAAAGAAATATGCTTAAAAAAGTTTGGCTTGACCTTCTTACCATCATTTACTTAAGATAAGCAAGTCATGTAATTGCAAAATAAAGCTTGAGATATCAACTACGGGTTTGGTATTAACTGATCAGTTTCTTATTTTACTTAATATAGATCTTTCTCTTCTGCTATCCATTCTTTGATCTTTAAATCATTATTTTCCCTTATTTGTTCTTTGCAATTCCATTGTATCCATCCTGTTTATGTAACCAAATCCTATATAATATAGCTTAAAACTGATAATTAGGACTCACCGATTTTTGTAACAATGAAACCTGAGCTCTGAGCATAATAAGACTATAGTCCCAAAGGTTCCCAAACTTATTTGGCCTACCGTCTTCTTTTTTAAAAAAAATTACTCAATGCCCCTCTCTGGAAATCTGCTTTCTTTAACCTTTTAATGGGTTTCTTAAAATTTGCATCATTTCAAAAAAACATAATTTTTAAAAAAAAAATGATGCATCTTAAATTTAATAATTTATTGTAAATCTGTGGATTTTTTCCCGCATTGAAATTTTGATGACACAATATTGCATCATGTAACTATATAGTATTACATTGTAAATTAATCATTACAGACACATATGCCTGCTGATGCATGCTGGACTTCTTTTTTTTTTTTTGATCTAGGCAATGGGCTTAAGTGACTTGCCCAGGGTCACACAGCTAGTTAAGTGTCATGTTTGGTCTGAGGCTGGATTTGAACTCAGGTCCTCCTGACTCCAAGGCCAGTGCTCTATCTACTGTGCCTCCTAGCTCTCCCGCATGCTGGACTTCTGACAATGCGCAACATGCTTGCCTGCCAACACTTGCTTGTTAAGACCTGTTGGTGGACTTGACTACTGACTGGTTATAACTTTTATATTGTGTGTTTATTTGGAAAAAAAATGTAATCACTATGACTTCATCTCTGTTACACAACAGATGAAACATGTAGAGTTTTTCAAATTTTTCTTCTCTTGTTTCCTTGTGCTTCCACTGCCCCTTTATTTTTCTTCAACACCCCCTAATTGCACCAGAGGCTACCACTGTCCCCCCACCCCCGGCTCTTTCCAGCATCCCCCAAGGGATGGTATTGCCTACTTTGAGGACCTATGTATAGTTCCTGTCTCTGTCAGTGGATCCTCAAATACATTTTATCTCAATTATTTGGTGACTCCAGATGGGACATTTAGGTCAGATTAAGATTGAGTTTTCTAGCCCAGTAATCCTCTGGTACACACAAGGTAGGTTTTATAAGCAGGAAAAATTTACTGACCAGTAAAGTTGCAGAAAATTGCAGAGACAGGCAGGTGCTTTGTTTGTATTGTCTGTCTGCTTTATCTTTTGTATCTGAATAACCTATTAAATATTAACCATCGAACTCTAGCCACACTGATATCCTGAGGAGCATGGTGCTATGATTTAGAAATCAAAAGCAAGGGCTTGATCGTTTTAATCGGGCGGCCTCCTTTCTTTCTAGGTCAATACCCAGGCTAGGGCTAGGATTTGTCTGAATCTGGAGCCCCTTCACCTTATTTCTCTCAGTCAACTAAGCAAGAGACTTGTTTGATTGTCTGTCTGTCATTTGTAATTACCATGTTATCTTGGCTAACTTCCTTGTCTGAAATCCTGGATAGTCCTGTTCTGGTCTGGTCTAATGTAAATCTCAAATGGTTAGTAAGATGCCTATCATTAATAATATAAATCTGACATCTCAATTCTGTCCTGAGTAGTGAGTGATCATTATTATATCCCTTGGGTTCTGGTAACTATAATTCAGTTTTCATAATTATAGTTTGTGGACAGATTTGGAACCTAAATTTTTTCTGGTCAAATCTCCTTTTCTAGAGATATCCCTTTGGGTTGCCTCTCAGCTGATTGGAAGAACAGTCCATTCAAAGAACCTAGTCTGCCTAAAGCCTGGATTTGACATCTTTGTGAAAATCTCTGAACAGGATTAATTTTTAAAACTTTACATCACTGGCCCTGGGGAAGATCTTTTGATTTTGAAACATTGCATAGGCTTAAGTTAATTGTTGAAGCTTCATACCCAAATCAACTCTTCCTGGTGTCTGTAATTACTACATTTCTGACACTAAACTTGCTTTCTCAATAAACAAGAATTTCCATTGATCCTTTGAGTAAACTTATAGTGGGACATGTTTTACGAACAGCTAGAAGACTGGTAACTTTTTCTGCTGAAAATTCCAGAGCTTTCAAAATGATACAATCTTACCTTTGTGCTCCTAATTCTAGCCAGGTAGGGAATACAAAGAAAGAGGGAGAGATAAGAAGGAAAAGATCCTTTCCTCTTTGTAGAAATTTACAGCATTGTGAACTAATTAGAGATTAAATTTGTGAATGGAAAAGAAATTTGTAAATTACATTATGAAAGTCTGAAAGATCCTAGTAGGTTATGGGGATTGTGGTTGCCTTACACTTGTTCACACAAATAGCAGACTCTTCTATCATTTTTTTTCTTCCCTGGAAAATGAAAGAAAATGCCCAGTTCTTAAATAAAAATGAAGCCAATTTCTAGTGAACAATTTTTAACAATTCTAGCAACAATTTTGCTTCTTAATTCAAATAATGATCAAAGAATAATCAAAAATTAATTTTAAAAGATTTTACTTTGCCACTGTATATCTTCTGTGAATGATTTAATAGAACTTAAATGTTTAGGTAAATCACAAGCAAAGTCACCTTAAAGAAATTGGAATAAACTATGCATTTGAAAACTCTTAAGAACCCAAATTAGAAAAGTTTTGCCTGAACTTTGGGGTCTCAGGAATTTATTCCAGTGGGGCAGGAAGTTCTAGTTAGTCCTATAAGAACATCTTGATTGGGTAAGATAATGGAAGTTCCCTCAATAGAGAATCAGTAGGCTTACGGTGTTGTTGAGTAAAATGCAGACTGCGCACAGGCTGTATTTACACAACCTTCTACCTGTTTCTTTGGCTTCTAAGGGGAGAAGATGTTTTCTCCAAATTCACAAAAATTTCCATTTTAATCAGGGAAAAGTAAAAGTTTTGCAATTAGTTGGTATTTTATAAGAAAATGTGCTCATTTGCAAAAGAGAAATTCAGTAGAGTGAAGAAAACCAGTTCTGAGAATAGAGTTAAATACATGATTAGGAAACATAAAGAAACAAAAGAGTGAGGAAGTAATAAAGAATTAAATCAGAATATGGAAAGACAATTTTTTTTTTGCTTTTTGGTGAGGCAATCGGTGTTAAGTGACTTGCCCAGGGTCACATAGCTATTAGGTGCTAAGTGTCTGAGGCCGTATTTGAGCTCAGGTCCTCCTGACTCCAAGGCCAGAGTTTTATCTATTGTGCCACCTAGCTGTCCCTATGGAAAGACAATTTTGAAGTTTGCAGGACTTTAGTCAAAATCCACAGGAAAAAAAAGAAAGTTTGAGAAGGTTTTGGATCTCATTGACATAAAAGAATAAGGGGAAGATTTCTATGCCTGTAAATATGTGAACACTATTTGGAGAAATGTTTGTTAATTTTAGTGTTGGGATTTCTTGTGATCTCTTGAGTTTTGTTTCACCAATTTAGATATTCTTGTTGATTTATTTGTTCATGAACAATATCTTATTTATGTTATCTCTTCTTTTTTGATTTTTATATTTTTTCCCAATTACATGTAAAAATAATTTTTAACGTTAGTTTTTTTAAAATTTTGAGTTCCAAATTCTCTCCCTCTCTCCCCTCCCCCCCACTTGAGAAGACAAGCAATTAGATATCAATCATGCATGTGTAGTCAGGCAAAACATTTCCATATTAGCCATATTGTAAAAGATAACACAAACCAAAACAAACAAACAACCCCAAAGAAAATAAAGAAAGTTTTTTAAAAAAAAGCATGCTTCGCTCTGCATTCAGACACCATCAGTTCTTTCTCTGGATGTGGAAGGCATTTTTCATCATAAGTCCTTCAGAATTGTCTTGAACCATTGTATTCCTGATAATAGCTAAGTCATTCAGAGTTGAACATCATACAATATTGCTGTGACTGTGTACAATGTTCTTCTTGTTCTGCTCACTTCACTCAGCATCCATCCATACAAGTCTTTCCAGGTTTTTCTGAAGTCCTCAAGCTCATCATTTGTTATAGCACAATAGCATTCTATCACAGTCATAGACCACAACTTGTTCAGCCATTCCCCAACTGATGGGCATCTGTTCATTTTCTAATTCTTTGCCACCACAAAAAAGAGACACTATAAGTATTTTTGTATATATAGGTCCTTTTCCTTCTTTTTTTGAATCTTTTTGGGATACAGATCTAGTAGAGGTCTGGGTCAAAGGGTATGCACAGTCCTATAGCCCTTTGGGCCTAGTTCCAAATTGCTCTCCAGAATGGTTGCATCAGTTCACAACTCCACCAATGGTATATGTGTCCCAATTTTTCCACTTCCCTTCCAACATTTGTCATTTTCCTTTTCTGTCATATTAGCCAATCTGATAGGTATGAAGTGGTACTTCAGAGTTGTTTCAATTTGCATTTCTTTAATCAATAATGATTTAGAGCATTTTTATATGACTTTAGATAGCTTTGATTTCTTCATCTAAAAACTGCCTCTTCATATCCTCTGATCATTTATCACTTGGGGAATGACTCATATCCTTAAACATTTGACTCAGTTCTCTATATATTTGAGAAATGAGGCCTTTATCAGAGAAACTTGCTGTGAAAAAATTTCTCTTCAGTTTTTTGCTTTCCTTTAAATCTTGGTTGCACTGGTTTGGTTTGTGCAAAACCCTTTTAATTTGATGTAATCAAAATTATCCAAATTACATCTCGTAATGCTCTCTATCTCTTGTTTGGTCATAAATTCTTCTCTTATCTGTAGATCTATCTGACAGGTAAACTATTCCATGGTCTCCCAATTTGCTTATGGTGTCACCCTTTATGTCTAAATCATGTACTCATTTTGACCTTATCTTGGTATATGGTGTGAGATGTTGGTCTATAACTTGTTTCTGCCAAATTGCTTTCCAGTTTTCCTAGCAATCTTTGTCAAATAGTAAGTTCTTGTCCCAAAAGCTTGGATCTTTGCATTT